TTTTCCCGTGGGAAGAATCCTCCTCTTGCTCCAATTCTTTGGGCCCAGAGTCCCTGGCCCTGATGCCTCTCACGGCCTTCACCCTGTCACATCTGACTTCCCTGAGTTCCTGGATTATTTCATAAAGTGGAAGATGGGAGCACCCTTAACCCTATAAATGCTGGCTCTTCCCAGGCTGCCTGAGGGGCCTGTAGTGAAGCTGTCAAGAGCCGCTCAGGTTCAGGCTGGCCCCTGGACCCTGTCCCTGTCTGGCTAGGGCACGGTGCCTCTGGGCTAAGAGCAGGGCCCTCAGCAGATAGGCTTTCCTCTGTTGGTGGGCCAGCCAGCTGCTCAGTGGGAAGGGTGAAGGTCATGGGGCTTGGGGGGAACTGGGTGAGGAGTTCAGATTACTCCTTGATAATCTTTCCAGGCAGGACCTTTCTGCTGAAGCAGCCCCCTGATACCAGGGCGCTCATTAACCCTCTGGGTGCCAGGGAAGGGCAGGAGGTGAGCCTTGGGGAGGCAGCTGAGGTCAGCCTTCTTTGAACCTCCACGTGGTATTTACTCAGGGCAATTGTTGCCAGAGGCCCAGGCCCCTGGAGTATAAAGCCGAATGTCTGCTCTTTGTGCCCAGAACTGAGCAGGTGAGCGGGTGCTGGGTAGAGGGGTGCGGGTCAGATTCCTCAGGGAGGGGATGGCAGGGGTCTCAGCAGAGAGCTCTTGGGCTTCTTGGGGTGGGAACTAAGAACTAAGGACATCCTCTTGGAGCACTTTGGCAGAGTTGCTTTTTCTCCCTTGGGATCCCTCAGCTTTCCCAGTTGCAGAGTGGGAGGCAGGAAGAGAGGTGAGCAAGGGAGTGATGGCAGAAGCGGCCGAAGGAGCTGCTCGTGAGGTCTCGGGAGGGTGGTGGGGGAAACTCTACAAAGCAGTTTGAGCTCCACACTCCATATGTGTGATCCAGGTGAAAAAAAAAGCCCCCCTCTCCCCAGAACACCCCGTCCCTCCCAGCCACGCTCACCTAGATCAGTCCTCATCAGCCCCGGCAGCCGTGTGCTCCGCATATCTCAGGGAAAGATTAACAGATTTTGGGCAGGTTGGCCCTGGAGCAGGGCCCCCTGGGGCAAAACTGGGAGATGTCCTTCCTTTGCTTCTTCACCTTAACCGGGCCTCGGTTCGCCTTCTTCCTGAGTAGACAACAGCAAGCATGGTTGCAGTTCTGACCTGGGCTCTGGCTCTGCTCTCAGGTGGGTCTCCAGCCCTGACTTCAATGCGGAGGTGTGGGTGGAGGCTGGACTGAGGGGGGGGAGACCCAGCCTCTAACCACCCCATCCCTCTCCACAGCATTTGCAACTGTCCAGACACAGAAAGGGTTCTGGGACTACTTCAGCCAGAGCAGCGGGGACAAAAGCAAGGTGGCGCGGGTCCAGCAGCAGAAGCTGATATGGGAACCCACGTGAGTGGCTAGGACAAGGGGTGTGGGTGCAGGGAGGAGACAGCTGAGCAGAGCAGTGGGGTGGTGTGCAACCTCTGATTCCTCAACCTCCATAGTCCTCACTGGGACAGAGGAACGGAGTTGTGCTAGTTTTGCCACATGCCTGCCCTTCCTGGGCTGTGCAGCCCCCTCTGCCCACAGCAGCACCCCCACCGCCACCCTGATTTGCTGCCCCCTGCGCACTGAGGTGTGGGACCTGGGAGCCGTGGAGGGGACCCCCACTGTGCCCCCAGAATGAAAGGACACTATGAGAGTCCAGATGCATCTGTGTTTCCTTGGGCAGTGTTGGTCTGGATTTGCACGTGCCATGTGTTTGTACTTGTGTGTGAGGAGTTGTGTGGTTGGCCCGCAGCTAGGACTAGTGCCCTGGACTAGAGCCCCCGCCCTGCATCCTTGGTTTCCCCCAGATCAGTGAGTGATGTCTCTGGTGATGGTGGGGCCAGCAGTACGATGGTCTGGATGTCTGTGCCTTCCCCAGGAGCCTGAAAGACAGCCTTGAGCAAGACCTCAGCAATATGGACAAGTTCCTGGAGAAGCTGGGCCCTCTCAGTGGGCAGGGGAGGGAGCCTCCCGGGCTCCCACACGACCCCGAGGGCATGCGGCAGCAGCTGCAGGAGGAACTGGCGGAGGTGAGGGCGCGCCTGGAGCCCTACATGGCCGAGGCGCACCAGCAAGTGGGCTGGAATCTGGAGGGCCTGCGGCGGCAGCTGAAGCCCTACACCGTGGAGCTGATGGAGCAGGTGGCGCGGCGCGTTCAGGAGCTGCAGGAGCAGTTGCGCGTGGTCGGAGAGGGCACCAAGGCCCAGCTGCTGGGCGGCGTAGACGAGGCGCGGGGCCTGCTGCAGGAGCTGCAGACCCGCGTGGTGCAGCACACGGGCCGCGTCGGGGAGCTCTTCCACCCCTACGCCCAGCGCCTGGTGACCGGCATCGGGCGCCACGTGCAGGAGCTGCACCGCAGCGTGGCCCCGCACGCCGCCGCCAGCTCCGCGCGCCTCAGCCGCTGCGTGCAGACGCTCTCGCGCAAGCTCACGCTCAAGGCCGAGGCTCTGCACGCGCGCATCCAGCAGAACCTGGACCGGCTGCGGGAAGAGCTCAGCGCGTTTGCCCGCGCCGGCGCTGGCGGCGCCGAGGAAGGGGCCAACCCCGACCCCCAGATGCTGCCCCAGGAGGTGCGCCAGCGACTCCAGGCTTTCCGCCACGACACCTTCCTGCAGATCGCCGACTTCACCCGTGCCATTGACCAGGAGACCGAGGAGGTCCAGCTGCAGCTGGCGCCGCCCCCTCCAGGTCACAGTGCCTTCGCCCCAGAGCTTCTCCAAGCTGACAGCAGCGAGGCCCGGAGCAAGCTGCAGGCCCGTCTGGAAGACCTGTGGGAAGACATCAACGACAGCCTCCATGACCGTGGTCTCAGCCATCTAGAAGAGCCCTGAGGGTCTCTACTGATCCAGGCTCACTTCTCGGCTCCTTGTCTGAGCCCAGGATCTGAGCCCCTGGCGTGGCTCAGTCCTTGACAGTGGCCTGTTGGGCAGAGGGTGGAGGGCCCTGCACAGGATAGGCGAGGCCACCAAAGGGACTGTTGTCCCTGGCATATCCAGCCTCCTGCGATTCCCCCATCCGGATGCATTACACTCACCAGGCTTTGCAAACCCAGCTTCCCGTGTTCATTTGGGAATCCTCATGAGTTGCTCCATTCCGGGATGGTGGGAGTGGGGAGGGAGAGAGGCACTTTATGTGCAGGTAATTACGTGCAGTGCAAGCCTGTTGCCATGGTGCTGGAAGCCTGTGCTTCTTTTTCCCCGGGGCTTGACTCTGATCAGTTCTGGCCGCCTGGTGGCCACTGCTACAGCTGCTCTATGGGAGAGGAGCTCTTTTCTCCCCAGGGCCGCCATGACAGCTTCCTTTGGGGGAAGAGAAGGGAGAAGGGAAGAAAATATGATAAGAGCGTGTGACGGTGTGTGCATATATCTCTGCTGGCTCTGATGCTGGTGGGTGCAAATGGTGGGGGTTGGGATGGGAAGGAGCAGAGCCTGCATTTCCTTACATCGCTCTACATCTAAACAGCTGACCAAGCCCTCCCAACTGTGGGGGCTGCTTAAAGCCTCGGGGGAAGCATACTGTATGTCCTGTCCATCTGGAACCCCTCACTTCTGACTCCCTGGCTGAAGCCTAGACTTCTGACTCATAAAATAGAGGCATATGGTGGAAGATTATTTGCCTGGTGTGACCCTTATTGGAGCCATGTCTGAAAGCAGTGGCCTCACCGCTATCCCCAAAGCACACCCATCACTCATTCCAGTCCCTCAACGCTCTGTCTCAGGGACCCTCTCCCAATCCAGGTCTGCCAGAGGGTCCTGGCTCTGGCTAGACTCTGCCTTAGATGACAGCTGTCTGTCATGCCTGGGTGTGGGCCTGGCTTAGAGACCCTTCCTCTGCACCTGCATTGCTCATCAACCTTAGCACAGGGCAGTGTGCGTGAAGTGCAGACTCCTGAGGTGGCCTGTCTCCTTTGTTCCTGCGGTTCCAGATTTTGAATGGCCTCCTCATGATTGACCCTCTTCTTGAGAACTCCAAATCTTAAACTCCACAATTCCCCATATACAGACTCACTTGGGGGCGACAGAGCTCTTCATAGATCCCCCTAGGAACTGTGAAATTGGGGATGGGTGAAGTTGGGGAGAGGGAGAAGAAAGGGTAAATACACCCTGTCCAGCACCCTTTCCTCCGCTCGCAGCCTGCCCCACACAGGGTTCTCAGCACCCCATATGAATCTGGCCTAATCATGACTGCAGGCTGGATCTCTTCCCTGACACCCTAGATTTAGCAACTGAACTGGGTGAGAGGTGCCCAGGGAGAGGAGATACTGGAAAGGAAAGTTTACCACAAAAAGAGGTGTTTTTGTTGTTGTTAGGAAACTGTGAGGGGTGAGTCAGCTGGGGTTTGATGTGCTTGGGATGTGGGGGTGGGAGTAAAAATGAGGGCTGTGTATTTGAGGCTGGAATTTGGGCACTTGTTTATGAGGGCAGAAATAAAGAGCGAGAACAGAAAGGGAGAGAATGCTTAAGGGACTGAGGGAGGGGGATCAAGAGCCGAAGCAATGTCTGGCCCAACAGTGGATGGGAACCTGAACCGGGATCGGATCGGACCTCTTCAGGGGTACGAGGGACAAGCCAAGCCCCTCGCCATCAAGTGTCTTGTAGTCAGATTTATGGACCAATGGTTAGAACCCTGTAGAATGGAGCTATTGTGAAGAAGCGAAACAGTGCCCTGGGTCTGAGAGGACGTTCGGGGGGAAGTAACGCCTGAACTGAGGTGCAGGCAAAGCTTGAATCAGGCTGGCTCTCGAAGTCTGGACCATAGAATCCCAGCAATGCGGAAACCTTGTCAGACACAGTTCTCCAGGGCCCAGAGTCTGCGGCCTCTTTAAGAGGGCGGGGCGGCAGCTGGTGGAAGACTCTTAAAGAGTCTGCGGCCTCTTTAAGAAAGGGCGGGGCGGCAGCTGGTGGAAGTGCCGGAGGAAGGGGTGGGGCCACGAGAGGAGCGGAAGCCGGAAGTGGAGGCATGCTTTGCGCGTGTTGATCATGGCGGTTAGCGGGCCTGTGGAGCCGGGGACCCCGGCGGCTGCTGCCGCCCCCTCGCCCGCCGCGGCCCGGGCTCCAGCCCCCGAGCACTTGTTCCGGCCTATCAGCGCCGAGGACGAGGAGCAGCAGCCCGCCGAGATCGAGTCGCTGTGTATGAACTGTTACTGCAATGTAAGGGGGGGGCCCGGCCCGGGGCGGCGGGAGGTTGGGCCGAAGTGGGGTGGGCCCAGTTGGGGACCCGGAGGCGGGGCACGCCCGGGGTCAGTAGACGGGGAACTGGGGCTTCCGAGCTGCTTTCTGCTTCCCCAGGGCACGACGCGCCTCCTGCTCACCAAGATCCCTTTCTTCAGAGAGATAATCGTGAGCTCCTTTTCCTGTGAGCATTGTGGCTGGAGCAACACGGAGATCCAGTCGGCCGGCAGGATCCAGGATCAGGGAGTGCGCTACACTTTGACCGTCAGGGCCCAGGAGGTGAGAGGACCCCAGAGCAGTCTAGTGTCCTCTAGAAGCCTTGGGGACCGGAGTCAGAGCTCTCGTGCGACCGCGAATAAATACTCCTATTTATTCCCCAAGCCCAAGCCTCAGTTTCCTCCTTCCTAAAGTGGGGTTGATGCTGTCAGATGCTCAGGGGAGATAAGGCTTGTGAAAGTGCTTTGTAATTACATTTTATCAGAGGGAATCAGATGAGCAGTACTTGTTTTCAGTAGTCCTCTCACGATTTGGGCAGCTGGCTTCACAGGTGTCCTGTTCGGCAGGAGTAGTCTGTACCCCCTGGAATGGAGAGAGAAAGAAACTCCTAGGCTGGGTCTGGTATTTCCTGAGAAGCTGTACTGCTGACCTCTCTGGACTGAAAGTTTTTCTTTCTGCCCAGGACATGAACAGAGAAGTGGTGAAAACGGACTCTGCCACCACAAGGATCCCGGAGCTGGATTTTGAAATTCCTGCTTTCAGTCAGAAGGGAGGTAGGTATAAGGTCAGGGTATTTGGGCTGTTCATGCCTGGCTGCAATCTTACTTTCTGGCAAAAACCCGGGTGCCAGGTCTGGTGGCTAGTGTATGGGTTTGGCCATGTTATCACTGTGACCTTCCTTGGTTCAACGTAAACAGAAAGCTTAGAGAAAACAGCTTGAGACAGTAGATGTGTTAGTAAGGCTGTAATGTGTTTATTAGAGAGTCTTAGCATCACTGTTATTAGAGATGAATGGAGCCTTGTTCCAGGCCTCCTCATTTTATTTTATTTTTTTTTTAAAGATTTTATTTATTTACTTGAGAGAGAGAGAATGAGAGACAGAGAGCACGAGAGGGAAGAGGGTCAGAGGGAGAAGCAGACCCCCCGCTGAGCAGGGAGCCCGATGCGGGACTCGATCCCGGGACTCCAGGATCACGACCTGAGCCGAAGGCAGTCGCTTAACCAACTGAGCCACCCAGGCGCCCCAGGCCTCCTCATTTTATAGTTGAAATCAAAGCCCAGGGAGCTCCAAGTGAATTGCTCAGAGTCATACAGGCACTTGATAGCATAGTCAAGACTCATGTGTCTTTTGTTCTTATTCACTAGCTCTGACCACTGTTGAAGGACTCATCAGCCGTGCTGTCTCTGGCCTGGAGCAGGATCAGCCCGCACGAAGGGTGAGTTGGGATTTTCTGATTGCAGCAGCTCAAGGCATAACGACCAATCTATGTCTGAAGAGAGTGTTCAGCCTCTTGTGTAGCTGAGCCATCTCTGAATGTTGGAGAACTTTTGAGGGACACACGGTGATGCTGTCGCTGCCAGGATGTTGCCCATGTTCTGTCTCCCATCCTTTCCACTTCCCTTTCCCCAGTGTATGTTCAGACCTTCTATCAGACAGGCAGTATAACATTATCTCTGAAGAGCCTTTCCTAATGCCCTTGGATTTATCTATACTTCCTGAGTGTTCCATTGTACCGTATATTTATTATGACAGAAGTAATATAATTACATATTTAGTCATTTGTCTTCCTAACTGGCTCGGGAGCCCCATGAGAGGACTCTAGTTTATTTACTGTTGTGTCTCTAACCTGGCATGAGAGCCTGGCCGAAATGGTTGAATGGTGAGAAAATGAAGCTCATTTGGCACAACCCATGAACTTCAAACTTATTTACTATATTTATTGTGAAGTCTGAGTCTCTCTGTTCCTACTTAGACTGAGACAGGGGTGACTTTCTGATGGAAGTGACGTGGACGTGACAGGGAGTAGGGGCATAAAGTCTGTCACCAGGGCTGGGGAGCCCCATGACTATCTTTTTACTATCTTTTCCTATCAGGCAAATGAAGAAGCCATAGCTGAAAGAATTGATGAGTTTATTGTCAAACTGAAAGAGCTAAAGCAAGTGGCCTCTCCTTTCACTCTGGTGAGTACTGAGGAACTCTAGGTGCTAGATTTAGGGGCAGAGAGACCCTTAAGACTGTCTGGGATTTTTCCACTGTGGTGCCCAAGAGGTCTGATGGTAGGCGGAGGATCATATGTGATTTCTTGTTGTAATTACTCCTTCTTCGCCCATCTGTCAGATCATTGATGATCCCTCAGGGAACAGCTTTGTGGAAAACCCCCATGCTCCCCAGAAAGATCATGCCCTCGTGATCACACACTATAATCGGACTCTACAGCAGGAAGAGATGCTGGGGCTCCAGGTAAGTAGACTGAAGAAGCCAAAAGATTGCTCTGGCATTATCTTGCTTTCTGGATTGCTTGGAATCAGTGGAATCTTACTTTGTCGTTGCTGCCCTGTGTACCCTATCTCTGCATGTTTGTGCATCTCATCTAGCTCCTATCAAGACTTAGGATAAACTTTTTTTTTTTAAAGATTCTATTTATTTATTGGACAGAGAGAGACACAGCGAGAGAGGGAACACAAGCAGGGGGAGTGGGAGAGGGAGAAGCAGGCTTTCCGCTGAGCAGGGAGCCCAATGCGGGGCTTGATCCCAGAACCCTGGGATCATGACTTGAGCCGAAGGCAGACGCTTAATGACTGAGCCACCCAGGTGCCCCAAGACTTAAGATAAACTTTACAATAAAAGTTGGCAGTGGCTGTGATCCTATCTTAAGCTCTGTTCTTCCTTGGATTGGGGCTTTGCTTCCTACTTTCTCTGTTAAACCCGTGAAGTGGCACCTGATATAAGCAAACCAGAGTCTTTTCTCTCACTCCAAGGCAGGCTTTTGGGGAGGCTGAGGTATATGTGCCAACGTATGATTTGTATTTCTGCTATGCTAGGCTGAGGCACCACCAGAAGAGAAGCCAGAAGAGGAGGATCTCAGAAACGAAGTGAGTCTGTTGGCTGCTGTGGAGGAAGGAACAGCTGTGGGCAGAGACTGACGCTGCTCAGTCTCTCTTCCTCACCATCAACACAGGCAACCACCAGCATACCAACTGAATGTCTGGAGCCTGAGCAGGTCTCACCCTTCGTCCCCATGTTGTGTTCCAGGTGCTGCAGTTCAACACAAACTGTCCAGAATGCAGTGCTCCGGCTCAGACCAACATGAAGCTAGTTGGTATCTTTTGTCAGGCAGTTGGGTTGCTCTTCATCTGACTCAGGCATGAAGATTATGTGCAGGCTGCGGAGTACTCCCTTCAAGGAAAGCGCAGTGATGAGGAAGGTGTTGCCTTTGATGAGACTGTGTACATTGGCTTTTGGGTTCAAAGGGAGAATTAGGCTCTGGTTTCTAGGGTCCTGTGTTTGGCTTGAGTCATGTCTTCCAATATTTGTGAACAAGGATTGCCATGGGTTGCAACCTTGCCCTCTTCTGGAGGACTATCTGAGTTAGGCTGCTTCTTGTGATTTCTTTCCTATAGTCCTAGGACTAGCAACTGTACTTTTAGGGTTTGGGTTTGTTCTTCCCCAGAAGGGTCTTGCTCTCCTGGAAGCAAATTTCTTTACCTCCGTCCTCCAGAAATCCCCCACTTTAAGGAGGTTATCATCATGGCTACCAACTGCGAGAACTGCGGCCATCGGACCAATGAGGTGGGTGGGCTCCATTGTTTGGGAAGATGACTAAGGTGAGGGTAACCCCTGTTTAACTTTGATCCTTCCTAAATCTGCTTTGGGATGAGGTGGGAGGAAGCTGGGTCTTTCTCTTGGATGTAGTGCAGGGTGAGGAGCCCTTGAAGGAACTGGGAATTAGTGAAGTAAAATTAGAGATACCATAACTCATTTAAGACATTAAAGATTGGTATATGGAAGAGGGAGGTGCCCCCCCCCCTTTTTTTTGAGACTCTGTTTGATTCACCTGTCAGAGGATTGGAAGTGTGGGGATGCGGATTTTGACTCTAATAAAAAACTTTCTAGATCTCTCTAAATAGAACGGGTTGCCTTGGAGGGTTGTAAATTACCTTTCCCCGAGTGTATTCAAGCATACACTGTTTAAATTCTGAACCCAGAATATTGTAAGGTGCATCTACATGTTGGATGCAGTTGGAAGTCCCTTTCAACCACAAGAGTCAGTTTTTTAAAAAAGGTAAGTTCAGAGTTTGTTGGCAATTTGGGAAAAGTTTTGGCAGGCTCTTGGCCAGATCTTCATTTCTGGTTTGGGTGACCTGCTGCCACTGTTGGTTTAGAAGGCTCTGTCCTTGGTAGCTGTAAGGGGGCCTGATTGGAGGTGTAAGCCCATCCTCTGAGGTCTCCCTGATACCAGGTGAGGATCAGAATCTTCTCTCCTGCTGTTCCTGACTACTGTTGTCTGTGCAGGTGAAATCTGGAGGAGCAGTAGAGCCCTTGGGTACCAAGCTCACCTTCCATATCACAGATCCTTTAGATCTGACCAGAGATGTGCTCAAGGTAACACCATGCTTGGGAAAGTGTCCGTCTTCCTCACATGGGCTGTCTCTATGTAGGGGAAATTGTCTTTTTAAAATTATATCCTGGAGTTGTGGGGTACCTCTTTACTTCCCTGGGTTTCAGGATAGCAGAGTTAATCCATGGTAGGAAGTACACATTCAGAAGGTGACCCAAAAACTCTCTGATGACTTGGCAGCTTTTGCCTCCAGTGTCTGTAAGGGCCCTTGTCTCTGGCCTCTAGTGACAGGATATCTGGCAGCTTGGAGCCATGACTCAGAATGTCCCTTTATTAGGTTGATTCCACTTCTGTGGTTCACATGGATAGGAATGAGCGTAGCTTTTAAAGCTGGAGAGTCCGAGAAGACTGGGGCAGCTGACTTTTTCCCCAAACTGTCAGCAGTGGTATTAATTTGGCATGAGAATTCGGGTTAGCTTTCTCGAAGAGACTCCTGATCTAAAGCTTAATTTGATCTCTCATTTCCCAGTCTGAGACGTGTAGTGTGGAAATCCCAGAGCTGGAATTTGAACTGGGAATGGCCATCCTCGGGGGCAAGTTCACAACACTGGAGGGGCTACTGAAAGACATCCAGGAACTGGTGAGTGGCCCGAGTGCAGTGCACGGCTGCTTCAGCAATGTGGCTGTGGGCAAGGGGCTAGAAGGCCTCACATGGCCTAGTTTTTGGAGCTGTTAACTGGGTGTTTCTTTGCCTTAAAGCTGATTTGAAAGATTTAAATAGTATTTTGGATTGTGAAGATAAGTTTATGGGAAATTCTGAATGGAAACTCCAGTCCTGCCTCTGGGACAATGTAGATACTTTGTGTTTTTTGGGTAAGCCACTTATTTCACTGTAAAATGAGGGGAGGAGGGTCGTTCCAGCCCCTGAAACTCCCCAGCATATATATTTGTGTGTTGACTTAGCCCATATATTTGTTTTCTTGAATAATTTCACTTAATTGATTCCCAGTTGTCAGGCATTTTGTCTTTGTAAATTACACTTTACTTTGCATTTCTTCTTCAAATGAGAACTAGAGTTCCCCTGGAAGGACATTTTTATAGTTTTTGTTTTATATTGCCAGTTGTCATCTTGGCAGATTAATCTCTGTGCTCTTAGCAGTGGTTACCTAGGTCAGAAAGGTGGTGTGGAGACTGAGCTTCCCTGGCTGGGCACCCTCCTGCCATTTCCCACCAGCTTTATGGTCAAACCTAAGAAACAGCCAGTATTTTAGCAATTTGGATGCCGTTTATTGCAGGTGACCAAGAACCCTTTCACACTGGGTGACAGTTCCAATCCTGGCCAGATGGAGAAACTGCAGGAGTTTAGCCGGAAGTTAGACCAGGTGAGATGATTCTGGCCCTTCAGTACTTGTGGTCCTGGGGTGCCGGTGGGCAAGAGGCCACCTGCCCTGTCCTGCCACCTTCTGAACATCTAACCAACATTGGGGATTCCCCTGGTTTCTGATATCCCATGTCCTCTTTCTTGGTTTTCTCCCTTATGTTGTGGGAGTCTCTTCTCTAGTAGCTTCAGTTGGGTTTTTCATTTCCACTGACTTCTTTTCCAAGAGCTTTTTTTTTGGTCTTTGAGTACTCTCCCTCCTTCCTTTGCTAAATAGCATCCTGTTGTTTTAAGGATGTGGTATTTTTTTTTCTCTTGAGAATGTTAATGTTGGTTTTTCTTTTTTTTGATGTTTTATTTTCCTTGCATAGTTTCCATTTCCTTTTAAGTTGGTTTTTGTTTGCTTGGGTTGTTTTGGTTTTTTTTGCTTGTTTTTGTTTTTCCATTTAACTTTCTGTCTTTCAAGGTTGGGGCTTTGCTCACATGTCTTGATAGTCGTGGATTGTCAATTTAAAAGTAGAGGACTGAAACGGGAGTGGAGCTGAATCTTACGTCGGGCTCATTGTAGGGGGGATTTAGCTTAGCCATTTTGTGGAGGTAACCCCTGTGCCAGAGTCCTTAGGTTTTTCCTCTTGGGCTGCTCAGATTCCCATCAGCGGGTGTTCTGTTTCCTGGCCTGAGGAGGAGGACTTGGCTGCTGGTGTTCTGAGAGCTGTGTGTGGGAAAAGAGCTGGCTGTGTATGTCTGTTTACAATAACAACATGTTCACTTAACCTCCTGTCCTTGCTGCCTTTCCCTCCACCCTCAACTGGGCGGGCGCCCCCTAGGCCTTAGCCAGCAGTGGTGGGGGCTTCTCCACGGATTCCTGCAGTTTTCTGCTGGGGTGGGGGAAGGGCATTTGTTGGCCTGTGTGCAATGGAGAGGGGGTGGGGATGTCAGGTTGCTTCTTAAGTAGGTTTCATACGGTCCTTATTTTAGGTCTTCTTCACTCGACTTTGAGAGGTACCTCATTTCAATAGTTTTTGAAACTTCTGGGGTTTCTGCCATGTAAATTGGGTTGGTCCTTGTCTGGCAGACACAGCCCCTTCCTACCATGAGCTATGTAAAATTTATGTGCTGTGTTCTCCCTCCTTTAGATCCTTCAGGGTAACATGAAGGCCCACTTTATTATGAATGATCCAGCAGGAAACAGCTACCTTCAGGTACAGAAGACCTTTCCTGATAGTGCACGGAGATATATTTTCTGACCTTTGAATATGTGTTATTTCTCCAGAAACTGGAGACTTGATTCTGAATGAACTGCTCTTTATGAAGAAACCTTAGAATTTGAAACATAAGGAAGTATAGGGGGAGGTGGGAGGGATTATAAGTGTGTGTCGAGAGGGGAAAAAAGATACTCCCTGACTCTTCCTCTCTCTAGTCCAGCTCTTGTCCCCAGCAATGGAGTTGTCATTTTGAAAATCTAATTGTGGAGTGAGGAGAAATGGTGCCTTGTCCAGAGGCTGAAATAGGAAACTGGAGAGGCTTTCAGCTGACTGGGGAGATATTCTGGTGATTTATAATAACTTGAATATTTATTGGGCAGTTATTATTGGTCAGGCAAAACTGTTTAAGGTCTCTCTGTGATGAAGACTATCATAAGAAGGTGCAGTTAGGAAGTTTTTTAGGCAGACTGTTCCCTAATTCTGCCTAGGGCTGGACGGTCCCATTCCTGGGACTCTGTTGGGCTCTATTTCTGCTTTCCAGTGGAGCCTAGCTATGGGGAATTGGAGGCCTTTAGAATAAAAAACATTAAGTTTTTGAGAAAGTGGGAGTTGGAAACCACCTGGTGGGGGGGGGGGGGGGGCAGGTACCTGGGTGGCACAGGCACTGATTGTCTGTCCTTGGCCTTGCAGAATTTGTATGCACCTGAAGATGATCCTGAGATGAAGGTGGAGCATTATAAGCGCACATTTGACCAAAACGAGGAGCTAGGGCTCAATGACATGAAGACAGAGGGCTATGAGACAGGCCTGGCCCCACAGCGGTAGTGATGGGTAGATTCCGAGCCAGCCTCCAGTGCTGCTTAGACTGAAGGGTTATTTCTGTCGGGAAAGGCTGGGGGTATCCTCAGCCCCCATGTGGTCTGAGAGATGTGGGCAGTTTTGTGAACGGTTTGTGATGGAAGTGCAAGCCTGTTTACTTGACTGTATTTTGGAGGTTTTGAATTGGCCTGGGAAGAAACCCAGAAATGAACCATGGGGCATGTCATTATCCCTTTTTTTCCTGTCACCTCTTTACCCTCCCTCCACATAATGCTCTCTCTAGGGTTGGAACTCTGAAGATGGAAGACAGCTACATCTGGAGTTTGGGAGTTGGCTGGGGAATATAAAATACTGGCTTTCAACAGGAAAAGAGTCTTCTGAGGGAGGGAGTCCAGCACAGGAGAAGCAGCTCTCATTAAAGTGGTGGCTTTCCATCAGGACTGGCCTCTGAATTCATTCTGTCCTTATTTGATACCATGCTAGTAGAATTCAACCTCCTGAATAAATTTTCCCCAGTGTAGTCAATTTGGGGATCGGAGCTGGCATTTCATTCATCCCTTCAGTAGATATTTGAGTGCTTACTTTGTGCCAGGTACACCACAAAACTGAACAAAATAAAGCCCTTGTTCATGGAATTTAAAGTGAACTTTTGAGGTCAAATCCATAGTTCCTGCACTTGCTTTATTAGATGCAGCTAACAAGTAGAGGGCAAAGCTCAGTGCCACCCTATGAGGTACACAGGGTTGGGATCTGAGTGTGGGTCTTTTTTTTTTTTTTTTTTTAAGATTTTATTTATTTGACAGAGCGAGCACAAGTAGGCAGAGTGGCAGGGAGAGGGAGAAGCAGGCTCTCCGCTGAGCAGGGAGCGGGACGTGGGACTTGATCCCAGGACCCGGGGATCATGACCTGAGCCGAAGGCAGCCGCTTAACCGACTGAGCCACCCAGGCACCCCCTGAGCGTGGGTCTTGTCAGGCCAAGGTTGGGTGTTGATTTGAAAGGGGAGTGGTGGAACTCAAGACAAATGGGCAGGAGATGGGTTGATGGGGCTGAGAGGGTACTGGTAATGTTCATTGGAGCAGAAAGATGAGGTTTTCAAATGCCTGCTGACAGCAGGGTAGTAGAGGCAGGGCTTTGGAGTTCAGTTTGAGATTCACCAAAGTGGACTGGAAGCCAACACAGGGTTGTGTCTGGAGGACCTCTGGGGCCCTCCAGCTAGTGAAGCCCTGTATCAGTTCAGTGTCCCCACAAGCCCTCAGAGACCCAACCCAGTCTGCTTTCCTTCCTGGGCCTGAGCTCGACCAGTCAGGATAACCCAGAGGTTGAAAGTTCATGGGTCAGGGCTGTAACATCCTCACCTGTTTTAATGTATATAATTTTTTTTTATTATGTTATGTTAATCATCATACATTACATCATTAGTTTTTGATGTAGTGTTCCATGATTCATTGTTTGCCATATAACACCCAGTGCTATATAAATATTTTTTGAGCATGTATTAAATTCTGAGCATTTATAAAGTGTAACAAGCCTTCTTGACTAATATGCTTTCAAACAGTGGCAAAAATGTAACATGTTGAGATACGGGACATATTCGATCTAATATTTTATTTCACAAACTTCGTTTTTACCTCTTGAACTTCACTTTGCTAGCTTCTGCCTCCAAGGGTCCCGTTTTGGCTGTGTGAAGTTGGGCGACTTCCTTAACCTCTCCAAGCTTTGGTTTTCTCATCTGTAAAACACGGTAATAAAAGCACTTGAGAATTTTAATAGTTAAATGAGGTAATTCACGTAAAACTCTTCATGTTCACAAGAAGAAAAGTAGTGTCTCTGCCCTCCGCCTCCCCGCCCTCCAAAACTTGAGAGTTAGAATTCAACCTCTCTTGCTTCCCTGTTTTTTGAAAATAGAGCCAGGTCCTCTTCACTGGAAAGATCCTAGGCAAAAGGTAGCTAGAGGCTACCTATTCCATCAAACGTGGGGAAGTTCACAGGTTAGAAACCTATTTTTTCATAGTAATTACATTGGGTTTGCAATTCCTGATTTCCTCTCTTGAATGGTACTTAGCCTATTAGAGCAGTTTCTACCCCCCAACCTAAACACATACGAATACAAATAACTGGTATATACTGTGCGCCAGACGCTGTTCTAAGCACTTCACACAGTAGAAGTATCATTCCTCGCAAGCATTGAGTTAGGTACCATTATACTCCCCAGTTTGTTAAATAACTTGCCCAAGGTCCTACAGGTAGGAACTTTCGAGCCCGTACTCAAGCTTAGATACGCTGTCACTCCAGAACCCGCGTTCTTGACGACATTGGTGCTTCTGGAGCTGCATCATAAGCTGGAAGGGTGGGTAGATGGACAAACGCAAAACGTGTTTGGGCCGGCAGAGGGACGCGCAGTGGGCACAGGACGTACGCGCGCTCCGGTCGGCCCGGGGCAGCCCCCACCGCTCTTCGCCACTTCCGGTCCCGGCCCCGCCTCTCCGGGTCCCCGCCGCGCGTTTCGCGTTCAAGAAGTTTGTCCCCAGCACCGAGCCGTCTCCCCGCCCTCACCGCTGCCATGGCGGCAGCTCCGCCGCTCTCCAAGGCCGAGTATCTGAAGCGTTACTTGTCTGGGGCAGGTGCCGGCGTCGACGGGGGCCCTGACTCCGGTCGCAAGCGTCGCAGGAGGCGGCCGAAGCCCGGCGGGGCCGGCGGGAAGGGGTGAGTTGGTTCGGGCGGGGCGGGGCCTGCGGCGGCTCGCCACCCCTCTCCTCCCCAGCTCCGCCCTCGGCCGGCGCTTCCGCTCTCCGCGCCGCCCGCCCGGCCTCTCACGGGGCTCGTCCGGAGCCCGGCTCGGGCGCCCCGCGCCCCTGGGCCGTATCTTCGCCTTCTCAGGCCGGCTCTGACTTTCATTACTCTCTTCCCGCCTCTGTAGCGTTCCGTCCTCTCCCGCAGAGAATGACTGTCGTGCCCTGAGAATAGTGGAGCGCACCCAAAGCCTCCGTGTTTGGATATTTAGGGCCCAGAACCTGGCTGTGGGGTTCAGCAATCCCAGGGACTCTGGTCCTAAGACAGAGACCTGTGCTTACTTCCTGTTACTCTTAATAGTGATGCTGTTAACAATAATAACCAACATTTGTAGTTCTTGTCATGTATCAGACGCCGTTCTGAGTACTTCAGACGTGTGTGATTTTAAGCTTCATAATAGTACCACGAAGTTGGCGGTGGTGGTATCCCCGTTTTTCGAATGAGAAAACTTTGTAGCCCAGTGTACTGGGTTGAGTGGTGCCCCTCTCACCGTTCATGTCCACCCCGAAGCTCAGAATGTGACTTTCTTTGGAAATAGTGCCTTTGCAGATATAATTAGTTGAGATGCGGTCACGGTGGATTGGGATGGGCGCTAAATCCAATATGACTGGTGTCCTTTTAAGAGGAGGGAAATTTGGACACAAACAGACATTGGGGAAGAAGCACCATGTGAAGACGGAGGCTGAGACTGGACTGGATTTCCGCTGCCACTAGCCAGAGTATGCCTGGGGCTACCAGAAATTGGAAGAGTCAAGGAAATACCCTCTCCTAGAGCCTTCCCAGCGGGCATTGCCTTGCAGACGCCTGGATTTCAGACTTGAAGCCTCTAGAACTGTGAGAGAATATATTTCTGTTGTAAGCCCCGCAGTTTGTGGTACTTTGCTAGGCAGCGCTAGGGAACTGTACCCCCAGTTTCGAGGAACAAAGCCATTTCCTTTCCTGGTTTGGTTCTTGCCTATTCTTGCTTTCTGTCTTCCTGCCCTTCAACTTGTGTAGATTCTTTGGAGACAGTGCCATGTAGTGAAAATAGCTTGAGCTTTGGAGTGATGCTGGTCGGAGTTTGAGTCTTAGCTGTGCCACTTTGTGGGCTGTGTGGCCTTGGGCAAGATATTTCATCTAAGACTGTTGCCACATCTTTAAAATGAGAGTAATAATGATATCACTTTATGGTTTTGATTAGAGATGTATAAAGTGATAATGGTTTTTCAACTATTCACATCAGGGCAGTCATTGTTAATTATTTGGACTCATCCGTAGTTTATGTGACAAACATTGATTGAATACGTACTTCTTATGCCAGTTACTTCAGGGTGTTGAGGATATCACTGTGAATGAGAAGGCATAGTCCCGATTCTGGTGGACCTTGTAGTTAAATGGGCATACAGGCTTTACACATCTAATTACACAACCAGTTGATTTATTTTCTTTGTGAATAATACAATGAAAGTATCCCATGCATGCATAACAGGGGTTGAGGGAGGTAAGGGGAGAAGCTCAAGGAAGTTAAATATAAGCTAGGACTCTTAAGAATCTTAAGAGTTTCCCATTAAAGAAAGAAGAGTAGGTCAGGCAGAGGGAAGGAACTGAATATGTGAAAACTGATGTGGTAAGGAATTTGCTCATTCCAGACACCAAAAGATGGCCAGCAAGGTAGTGAACTGTGGAGGCAGTGGTACAAGGTGATGAAGTTCGCCTTATAGGCAAAGACTGGACCTTGTAGAATCTTGTAGGATTTTGAGCTTTATCCTAAAATCCGTAGATAAAGTGTTTGTAGTCTGTTATCCAGGAATGGTTCTTCCTTTTTTATCTATTTATTTTTCACATTTAGAATGCGGATTGTGGATGATGATGTGAGCTGGACATCTATTTCCACCACTAAACCGGAAAAGGAGGAAGAAGATGATGATGGAGATTTGCCTGTGGTATGCATCTTTTGAGGCTGTGAGGACTTCTCAATCTTGATTCCCAGTACAGGGTAGATTTATACATATATGTTGAGGGCAGTGACACTTTTCAAAGATCTGTTTTAAAGTAGTCTTCTTTGATGATGCCTATAGACTGTTTTCTTTGTTTATGGAGGGCCTCATTAGCCTAGAAATGGGAACTAGTCCCAGAGAGACAGGACTTCTAATTGTAATGTTTACAGTTAGCCATGGTTCAATTTATTGATATGTACCTTAAAAACAATGTTCAGCTTCAATTAAAGGAAACTTTTTATTTGTTCCTTTTATTCATTGATTCAACCGGTCTAAAATTGTATACTTTTGTTTAAGTACTGTAGATATGTAGGTTAATAAGACCTAGTGTCTGTACTTTAGAGACCATACCCTAAATGGGAGACTGAATTTCAAATTTCAACACTGTGATAAATGATGGAGAGACATTTCACACAGGTACCGAGTACTCTTAGAGCACTGGGGAGGTAGCACGTTTTTTTATTCCACTGGGAAATTTTTTTTTAAAGATTTTATTTATTTATTTGAGAGAGAGAGAACACACACACACATAAGTCGGGGCAGGGGTGAGGGCAGAGGGAGAGGGAGAACAGACTCCCAGCTGAGCAGGGAGCTCTACGACAGGACCCAACCCAGGACCATGGCATCATGACCTGAGCCCACTGAGCCACCCAGGTGCCCCGCACTGGGAAATTCTATTAAGGATGTAAATACCCGAACTGAGTTTTGAAGGACCAGTAAGAACCAAGTGGGCAAAAGCACAGGCAAATAATCTTGCATTGGTTCTGTCATGGAAACCTTGCTGAGAAATATGGTGAAAAGGAGAGCTGTTGATAGGCTGTATTGCACTAAAAGGTGGTAAAAATGAATTCCAGATGAGTATATTCAATGTTAGTCCCCAGCATATTCTGTAGTACATCTTTTTTTTTTTTAAGATTTTATTTATTTATTTGACACAGAGAGAGAGAGCACAAGTAGGCAGAGCAGCAGGCAGAGGGAGAGGGAGAAGCAGACTCCCCGCCGTGCAGGGACCTGGATGTGGGGCTCGATCCCAGGACCTTGGGATCATGACCTGAGCCGAAGGCAGCTGCTTAACTGACTGAGCCACTCAGGCGCCCCTATGGTACATCTTTTAAGAGAAAGTTTATTAGTAATTAGAAGGGAAATAGTGGGGCGCCTGGCTGGCTAAGTTGGTGGAGCATGAGGCTCTTGATCTCGGGGTTGGGTTTGAGCCCCACATTGGGTTTAGAGATTACTTTAAAAAAAGGGCGGGGGGGCACCTGGGTGGCTCAGTCAGTTAAGCATCTGCTTTTAGCTCAGGTCATGACCCCAGGGTCCTGGGTTCTAGCCCTGCGTAGTGCTCCCTGCTCAGCAAGGGAGTCTGCTTCTCTCTCTTCCTCTCCCTCTGCCCCTGCTTGTGTGCTGTCTCTCTTGCTCTCTCCCAAATAAATAAAATCTTAAAAAAAAAAAAAAAAGGAAGAAGGGAAATAGTGATCCTAAGGGGCCAATTAATTTGAGTCAGATCCAGTCACTTAACCTAATTAATGTTTACAACATTTGTTTTTTTTTATGTTATAAAAGCAATACATATTTATTGTAGAATATTTGGGAATTAGAGGGTTTAAAATTTTGAAAAAAATATAATAATCACTTACCCTGTGACTGTCCAGAGGTAATAACTGCTAACATTTGGAGGCATATGTCTTTAATTTGTAGATTATACATACTTGTATTTTATTTATTTTTTAAATATAATCGGGATCATACTGAACATATGGTTCTGGAACCTGCTCTTTCATTTAATAATATGTTGTGACTACTTTAGTAAGATTTTAAAATACTCTTTGAGGACATGACTTTTAATGGTTGCAGCAGTAATTCATTATATATATTAATTTAACCTGTCCTTTTACTGTATGTATGGGTGGTTTTCTGTTTTAAAATATAATGCTTTGAAAAACATCTTGTAGAGAAATCATTGTGGAAATCTGTTTATTTCTTTATTCCTATCAAATGAAATTAATAGGTTAGAAAGTACGGTCCTTTTGAGCTGTATTCCCATATTGCTTTCCAAAGGTGGTACCAATTTATACTCTCCCTAGAGTTGTTTGAGAATGCCATTTTTCCCATTTCTTCATCAATACTAGAGAATTATTTACAACAACAAAAGCAATAGGTTCAAACCTGGGTCGGTTTGGCAGGTGAACAGTGGTATCCAGTTTCTTTGAAAAATAGTGAATCGTTTTTTTTCATATGTTTATTGGGCATTTGTTTTTTTTTTTTTGGCATTTTTTCCATTGTTTAGAAAATTGGACTTTTTAATTTTTTTATTGATTTATTTGATATTTATGCAAATAAGAATATATTACTTGTTTTACTGTCATAGGTATTTTTTTATTATTTGCCTTTTCATTTTTAAGTTTTTGACATTTAAAAATTTTAATTTTTATATAATCAAGTCTATTAATTTTCCTTTATAATACTGTCTTTTTTTTTTTTTTTAAAGATTTTATTTATTTATTTGAGAGAGAGAATGAGACAGAGAGAGAGAGAGCACGAGATGGGGGAGGGTCAGAGGGAGAAGCAGACTCCCTGCCGAGGCAGGGAGCCCGATGCGGGACTCGATCCAGGGACTCCAGGATCATGACCTGAGCCGAAGGCAGTCGCTTAACCAACTGAGCCACCCAGGCGCCCCTATAATACTGTCTTTTGCTCTTATGATTGCCTCAAAACCTGAACAAGGGAGGTGTTAGCCCCACTGCTCTCTACACTGGTTAAAGCAGATCTTGACTATTGAATTCAAATGTCACTGCAAGACCACCACCACCACCAGTAATAATGGCAAAATAATTAGAACAGCACAATACCAGTGGCAGCACAGGAATAATGGGTATAATTTATTGAGCATTTACCATGTACCAAGCTGCTTAGCTTACATGATTTATCTCGTTGAATCCTCATAGAACCTTGAGTCCTCCTTCCACAAATGAGGAAATTGAGGTTTAGAGAAAATAATTTGCCAAAGGCTACACAAGTATTAAGTGGCAGAGCTGGTGATTTAGATCTCAGTTTATCTTGCTTGAATTCAAGCCTGTGCTTTCCTATCTCAAAACTAGGTTACTTGAGGAATGATGGTAGGCTCTTGGGAACAGAAAAATAGAGGTGAATTATGACCTGGGTTTGGATTACGGTTCTGCCACTTGCTAGCTTGTGACATTGAGAAATCTATTTAACTTCTCTGAGTCATAGTTTGTTCTTTATTAGTGTTGAACCTTTCTTTGGAGGGCTGTTTTGAGGATTGAGTGAGATAATGTAAATAAAGCCCAAACACAGTGCCTGGCATGTGGTTCCTACTCTGTAACTAGAATTTATTATGCCAGTTGTTTTTGAAAGTCTGTTATGTGGAAAGAGGATCAATTGCACTGGAGTCAGAACTAGAGTTAATGGAAAGAAGCTATAGGAGGGTAGGTACAGGTCCAATAAAACTAAAGACTTTCTAGCACTGCCCCCAAATACAGTGGACTATCTTGTAACATAATGAGTTCACTGCCAGTAAATTGGTTCCCTGTCAGGGAGGGAGTGGGTGAGTGATAATTTATCAAGGATACAAGATGATTCCAGATTTGTTTGGGAATTTGGATGATATGAAATGTGTTTTTATCCCTTAAAGATTCTGTGATTCTGTGTACTTCTTAATGACTTCTTTTGGTTGGATTTAAGAAAACCTATCATTGTGATTACCTGTAACAACAGAGGTTTCATAATGAGCCTGAAGCCCTTGAGGAGTGATAGGCATGACAGGGAGCCTGCCTGTATTTTCACTCTGAATGTAAAAGTAAAAAGGTAAAAGGAATTTAGCTTTTAGCTTATCCGTGGCAGTTGTGTACCTGGCGGGTTGATAAAGAAGGTTTGTAATGAAGAAATTCACCTTTGGAGGAAAATTGATTAGTCAGAGAAAGATCTATAATTAAACTATCCAGGGACAATCAGATAAACATCTCATGGGGCAAACAGAACTGAGGACCACTACATGTTTCTGCATGCTTCTTCATGGCCATTTTGGACTTGCGTGTGCCATGTACATTAGGAATGGGAATGGTCATAGCTTTAGGTTCTTGAAAAAACAGTGCTCCTTGCCCGGATCCTGTGGATTTTCTCAACACAAGTGTCCTTACTCCGACAGGTGGCTGAGTTCGTGGATGAGCGGCCGGAAGAGGTAAAGCAGATGGAAGCCTTTCGTTCCAGTGCCAAATGGAAGCTCCTGGGAGGTTAGTTTCAACAATGGATAAATCTAAATTTCCCATGTATAGGGGAGGCCTTTTTTTCTTCTCTATACTTCTCTTTTAGAGAAATGCATAGTTTGTTTTAGTGTGTCCTTGATCCTGAAAAATACAGTGTGAAAAAGAATTCAGAACTTCTTCAGAGGTAGCAAGACATGGGAACCGAGAGACCAAGTATCCCATTTTCTCTTAGGGTTACTGAAGTCAGGAAGTGACTTATTTGGGGACCTTGCAGTAACCACTCCCCTCAAGCCCAAATAGAGGGGCACTTAATACATAGACAGGGCTTTGGAGGAGTAAATCTTTCTTTGTTCTTCCTTTAAATATTGGTATTTTGCAGTGCATTATCCTCCACTTGCCCACTCTATACCCTCTCCCTAGGCTAATAATTTAACTCCCTTTTTAAAAATTTTTTGTTTTTGAGGATTGGATGAAGGGCATTTGTTTGTCATGTTTGAGCAGAGACAAGCCCTGTTCTTTTTTTTTTTTTTTTTAAGATTTTATTTATTTAGGGGCGCCTGGGTGGCTCAGTCATTAAGTGTCTGCCTTCGGCTCCGGTCGTGATCCCTGGGTCCTGGGATCGAGCCCCGCATCGGCCTCCCTGCTCAGCGGGAAGCCTGCTTCTCCCTCTCCCTCTGCCCCTGCTTCTCTCTTTGTCAAATAAATAAAATGACACAGCGAGAGAGGGAACAAAAGCAGGGGGAGTGGGAGAGGGAGAAGCAGGCTTCCCACTGAGCAGAGAGCCCAACGTGGGACTCGATCCCAGGACCCAGGGATCACGACCCGAGCCGAAGGCAGACACTTAATGACTGAGCCACCCAGGCGCCCCTAGACAAGCCATATTCTTATTTGTCTTGGTTTTTCCCCTGCCTGGCATAAACAGGGATCCTCTGGATAGCCATTTAACTCCAGTTTACTCTTGACACATGTTCCTTTTTCATACATGAAGGGTAGAAGAATTAACTCCTAAACAGGATTTGTTCTTTCTGTGTTACACTTTTTGCTTATGTTAATTACCCTACAATTCTGATAAGAAAAAAATGCATAACCAAAGTGACAGTGACAGTTGGCTATAGGTTAGTGATCGCTATTGCCTCAGTTAACTTTTCAGTACATTATTGTTATGTTTTATGAATAAAAAGTTTATTATCAGTATGTACTCTTTTATCAGAATCTTGTTTACTCTTACTATTTTCTGCCTTATCTGTGGTTGTGTTTCCAGTCTTTTCCATAGTCCTTTTTTCAGAGAGAATCTTCTGGTCTCCATATTATAGGTCTAGGAAGTGATACCAAACTGCCCTCACCCCCTTGCCCCCCTCCCACCAGATAATTCTTTTTCTTCACTTTCACTGCTCCATCCCCATTTGTCACTGGAAATATCCTCACTGGTCTTTGATCCTTACTTCCTTTTTATAAATATCATGTAATTTATCAATGGCATGGATTAGATTTGCTGTCAGGTCTCCCACAGATACCAGTACTCTTCTGTGAGTGGTGATTCCAGTCAGATAGGACTGTTCTCCAAAGTAAAGGAGTTGACTTGGTTTAATTCATCCACTTAGCAATTACTCATTGGGCCCTACCCAGCATTTATTTGTACTGGGGCCATGGAGCTCAATGACAAGAAACAGAGGGAGAGGAGAAACTGGATTTTGGAAATGTCCTGAGTTGCTGTAAACATTTCATTCTCTTAGACCTTTGAAAACTGGAAGTTTCAAACTCTTTCCTCAACTACCTATTTTAAAAGATCGCACATGGACTCTGGAGTCTGATGGATCTGGACTGGATCCCCCACTACTCCACCACATATTAGCAGTATGGCTTAATCTTTCTCAGTATCAACTTCTTCATCTATAAAATGGAGATAACAATATTTGTCTTTCAGGCTTGTTGTGAGAATTAAGTGTGGGAATCTCTATAAACCACTGGCTTGTAGTAGGTGATTAGGAAATGCTGATCCCTCTTTTTATCTGGTGATCTCCCCCCAGTAAGGAGTACAGGGATGTGGATTAAATAGTTAACAGTATTTCATTTTGATGTGGCACAGGCTTAGTCACTTTGCCTTTTCAAAGAAGAGTGAATATGAACTGTGTGTTATCTAGTCTGAATATCAGTAGGAGCCTCTGGGAGTTCTGCACAGACACGGTTTTAGGAATAGCATTGGATTGACAGCTAGAGGATCAGGGTGTTAGCTTATCTCTTTATCTTAGTGGCTGTGACTTTCGTTAAGAAATCACTCATCTTGGAGCCTCTGTTTTTGTGTCTGTGAAACAAGGATACCTGCCCAGCTGGTATAATACAGTACCATATTATACCAGCCCAAGGTATAATATGAAAAATGCATTTAAATGGCTTGTTAGGCAAATACAAGAGGTTACCTTTAAGGTATTCAAGAGTGCTGGTTTACTGCCCCTAAGCAGAAGAGCTGTGCAGATGGGATTTCTGAGTAGTTTTGACATGTAGGTTGCCAGGGCGTCTTTTGAAACTTTGAGTACCAGGGGTGAATAGAGCACCTGTGGGGATGTAACTCTTTGCCCTTCGTGTTTAGGCCACAGTGAAGATCTGCCCTCACACAGACACTTCCGTCATGACTCCCCGGATTCATCTCCCCCCAGGAGGGTCCGTCACGACACCCCAGATTCGTCGCCCCCCAGGAGGGGCCGTCACGACACCCCGGATTCATCTCCCCCCAGGAGGGTCCGTCACGACACCCCGGATTCATCTCCCCCCAGGAGGGTCCGTCACGACACCCCGGATTCATCACCCCCCAGGAGGGTCCGTCACGACACCCCGGATTCATCTCCCCCCAGGAGGGTCCGTCACGACACCCCGGATTCCTCTCCCCCAAGGAGAGTCCATCATGACACCCCGGATTCATCTCCCCCCAGGAGGGTCCGTCATGACACCCCGGATTCATCTCCTCGCAGGAGGGTCCGTCATGATACCCCAGATTCCTCTCCCCCAAGGAGGGTCCGTCATGACACCCCAGACCCATCTCCTCCCAGGAGGGCCTGTCATACTCCTCTGGATCCTTCTCCCCTCAGGAAGCCTCATCGTCACTCTTCAGGTGTGTCTTCTAGGAAAGCCCATCACAGCACACCAGATCCATCTCTTCCTAGGAGGGCCCATCACAATTCCTCAGATAGCTCTGTTCCCAGAAGGGCCCGAAATAGCTCCCCTGACACATCTCAACCTAGAAGGACTCTTGACTCCTTGGACACATCACAGCTCAGGAGGGCCCGTCATGACTCCCCTGATTTGGCTGCTAATGTCCCTCATTCACTGCCCAGAACCAAAAGCAGTAAAGCCCCAGAAAGAGCCTCTAGCAAAATTTCTCCACACTGGAAGGGGCCGGGACCATCTCATGCATCACTCCCAAAGAACAGCAAGTATGAGTATGACTCCGATGTCTCTCCTCCACGAAAAAAGCAAGCAAAATCCCATAAGCATGATTCTAAAGGTAAGCATTTGATTGCCCATGAGAGGGACTTACCCCCTAGGTGCTTTCTTTTGGACCTTTTACTTGTGGTCTTTAGAAATGAGAATGGTATTTTTTGGAGAAGTTTTAAAAACTGTAGGGAAATGGGGAGAGGTTGGGCTGAGGAGAGTTAAAATTTACCGTGGCAAGGAGGACATTTTTACATATTTTTGTTTTTTCCTCCCACCCCATATGAAAATACTACATGTCTGATGTAGAAATTTCAGAGTGTATAGAAATGCGTAAAGAAGTAGAAGAAAGGTTATACAAAATTCTGTCATTCAGAGCCATTCACTCTTAGTGTTGTGGCTAGTGGTCTTTTAGGCTTTTTTCTATTCACTTTTTATGTAGTTAAGCTCTTACTATGTAGTATATACATGTTGTATGTATAATCTTGCCTGGTTTTTTCACTTAATGTCATCTTCCCTGTGTCATAAAAACATCTCTTTGTCTATATGATCTTTATTAATGTTCCGTTACATAAATGTGCTTAACCATTTCCCTAATACTGCATATTTTAGGTTATTTCTAAATTTTTGCTTTTATAATTTTAAAGTAAGCCGTGTACATAAATTGTTGCCCCATTCTGGATTATTTCCTTATCTACTTTTAGATAGATTTCCTGGTAATTTAAGTACATCTAGATATGTTTCCTAGGAAACTAAGTAGAAATTGACTTATTGGGTAAGAGGGATGTATATTTTTAAGACTGTTGATACCCATTGCAGATTGCCTTTTTGAGAGTTGATTTGTGATGTTTCTGTCTACAACTCAGGCCTATGCAGTGAGATTTGTTTACTCAGTCTTTGTCCCTAGGTACTGTTTTCATTTTTTTTAAGGATTTTATTTATTTGAGAGAGAGAGAGAACCCAGAGCATGAATGGGGGGAGGGGCAGAAGGAGAGGGAGAAGCAGACTTCTCCTGACACGGGGCTGAGCAGGGAGCCTTAGTGAGCCGAAGGCAGATGTTTAACTGACTGAGCCACCCAGGTATATTCTAGGTAATTTTTTAACTTTTGCCACAACACTGAGATCTGAGCGCAAGTTGTTTTGCCCATTCTATGCTCAGATAAATATGACATAGGTGAGTATGTTGAGGTCTCACATGCTAGTCACAGTCACTAGTAGTAACTTGGGAATAGAACCCCATATCCTGCCTGTTGGTTTTAAGAGTTGTCCCTGACTCTGCTCTTCTCCCGTGTCATCTGTACTTGTATTTGAGTAGTGATAGCTCTTTAGAGGAAGACTGAATGAATATTGAATATTAGCCTGGTAAGTTCTGTTTTTAAGATTCTGCCAAGGGGATTAAAGACTTTATTTTTTAATTTCTAGACTCTTCCCCCAGCCATAGGAAGTTTCACACAAGCTCTTCACCTAGGAGACATCGGAGTCACGTGTTGGACTCTTCCTCCTACCCAAGTGATAGTTGGAAAGCCTCAGATTCAGATCTTTCTCCTCCTCGCCATAAGCAAAGTTCAGGGCACAAGGATTCTGATTCAGATCTTTCACCTCCACGGAATAGACCTACACATCGGAGCTCTGATTCTGACCTGTCTCCACCAAGGAGGAAACAGAGGGTCAAATCTTCTGATTCTGATCTGTCTCCACCTCGAAGGAGTCAGCCTTTAGGAAAGAAGGTGGGAATTTTCAGGAGTCCTGTCTTTTCCTTAGAGTGACTTGTTTTCTATCTCTATACATGTGTTAGATATACAAACCAGAGAGGGAGGAGGTAGGTCCTGGTAGCATAGTAAATCTAGTGCAGAGTTCCCTCTAGAGCTCTTTGCTTCTCTCTGAGGGCAGGACTGCCTATAACCCAGCCCAGACGAACTAGCAAACACAAGGTTTCCTAAGTATCTTCTGCCTTTCTAGCCTCTTTATTCCACAAATCTCATTTTTTAATAGGTCTGGAAAAACTTCCGTCTTAGGAATGAACTGAGAACTATAGTTTATAGAGTAGAGTTCAGAGTACAAACCTTGTGTTAATCAGATCACATATTCGAATTCTACTTCTTCAACTGCTGTTTGTGAAATTTGACTAAGCTATGGAATATCTCTAAGCCCCAGCTTCTTCATCTGTAAAACATGGATAATAGTAGTATGTACTTCATGAGGTTATTGTGAGAGTTAAATGAGTCAGGGTAAATAAAACTCTTAGCACAGTGCCCAGGACAAAGTGAGACATTAGCGTAAGCAATTTATTATTATAAATTGGACTGCGGGTCTCTGTATCCAGAGCTTAAAGAGAGGCATTTAAAATATAAAACAACTTCTGGAAATTATACCACCTGGGAAGTCAGTGTTTTGTTTTATTTTAAATGTGTGATGAAGCATGACTTGCCCAGAACATCCACATGAACTCTGAGCAATTGTTTTGTGAAGCACGCCAGTGCTAGGGACAGAATCTTATTCCAGTGAGTTGGTTAAGAAACAGGAATAGAGCCTGCAGTGTGCTCGTTTCCCTCCAACCCAGACTTTTCAGGTAGGTCTCCTCTGTCGCCCACATGGTCCTTGTAGTCTGTCCCTGACTCAGGAAGTGGGGTTCTTCTTTTTTGGGGAAGAAAGTGAGGTTTGTGTTGCAACTGGACGCCTTGACATTTTATGCGTCTGTTTACTTCATGGACAGTTTCCTAGTAATCAAATTGAGTACATTGCACATGATACACTATATACTCCACTTGTGGGTTGGTTGTTTATCTTGATAGGGAATGGAGTTTAATAAAAAGGTTTGATTGGGTCATAACTTGTCATGATCCTAAAATATATCCTCAACTGAAGGACCTTAGTTTGCTTGAGTTTGTAGTTGAAATGGAATATTTTATCAGTGTGGGTCTCTCCTGGAGGGCTTAGAGCTTGATACAGGTTTCTGATCAGGTGACCTCAGAGTGCAGCTTCATGTGTGCAGTTTATATACTGAAAAGTCAGAAATATAGATGCTGTGCCTTTTCTTTAATATTTTCTTGGTTTGTGTTTCTGTTTATTCTTAAAACTTGATAGTACTATTAATTTGCCATCAAATTCAATTTTATTTCTTCTTTTTTATTTTGTGAATCTTGTGGTCGGTAATGAGAATACAAGGCTAGAGTTTTTGGTTTGGTTATTGCTAATCATCAGGCAAAAATGTACTTAACTGTATACCCTGGAGCCTGCTGCTACATTGTCTCATTAATGTTGGATGCTCCCTTTTCCATTGCATAGGCTGCACACATGTATTCTGGGGCTAAAACTGGGTTGGTGTTAACTGACATACAGCGAGAACAGCAGGAGCTCAAGAAACGGGACCAAGAAGCCCTGGCGTTTGAAGGTAAAAATGTGAAAGTGCAGAGACCATTCGAGTCTCATGTAGATTTTATTATTTTTTAAATGTAGTTTATTGTATGTGATATTTTAAACTTTTAATTGATATTAAGTTTCAAAAGCTCTGGTTTTACGCATTATTTTAACTTCTTAGTGGGCCCAAGTGATTCTTTTCCTTCTTGAAAAAGGTTAGATATTGGTAGGAACTATTTGTAGTCTGGCTGCCAAAGTTTTTATCCAGCATCAGAATCCCAAGTGGTTGATTTCAGCTGTTAGAATTATTTCTGATTTTGATACCTGGTGTTATATCTTTAAAAGTAGAATTTTCCTTTGCAGCTGAATTCCAGTATGCTGAAACCGTATTTCGAGATAAATCTGGTCGTAAGAGGAATTTGAAACTGGAACGTTTAGAGCAAAGGAGAAAAGCAGAGAAGGACTTGGAGAGAGATGAGCTGTACGCTCAGTGGGGCAAAGGGTAAGAGAATCACCGAAATGAAGAACATGACTACGCTAGGACTGGAGAAGTTCATTCTTTACTTTTCTTTTTTTTTTTTTTTAAAGATTTTATTTATTTATTTGAGAGAGAGAATGAGAGAGAGCACACAAGAGGGGGAAAGGTCAGAGGGAGAAGCAGACTCCCCGCTGAGCAGGGAGCCCGATGCGGGACTCGATCCCGGGACTCCAGGATCATGACCTGAGCCAAAGGCAGTCGCTTAACCAACTGAGCCACCCAGGCGCCCCATTCTTTACTTTTCTGACCAGCTAGTTCATTGCTTTGCCTTCAGAGCTATTTCAGGAATGGAAAATTCAGTGTGCTCAATCTCCTTTCTAAGATACGGATGGAGTCCACACTTTCAGTTGGTATTCTAGGAATTTTACTCTTTTCAATATTTGGCCTAAGCTGCCAGAAAAATGAGGTTCTCCAAATGTAGTCATATGGTCTATCTCAGTGTAAGAGGGGAAATGTTACACAGGATAGCAGACGCTCTTGGTTCTTTTTGCCCAGGCTAGCCCAGAGCCGGCAGCAGCAACAAAACGTGGAGGATGCAGTGAAGGAAATGCAGAAGCCTCTGGCCCGCTATATTGATGATGAAGATCTGGATCGGATGCTGAGAGAACAGGAAAGAGAGGGGGACCCCATGGCCAACTTTATCAAGAAGAATAAAGCCAAGGAGAACAAGAATAAGAAAGGTGAGCCTTCTGGGACTCACCAGAGATGGAGGTGACTTATGGAAGGAGAGAGGGTCTTTAGCTGGGCACATGTATGGGCTTTCCCATATAGTCTTAGGTTCCTTGTGTTTGGGAATTTGGGTTCAGCTCAGTAGAGATTTCTGTATAAAATTTTTTGTTACCACTGCCACCCAGCTCTGAATTGAGTTACATAGTAACTAACTTCTTTTCTCTTTCTCTCCTCTCACTAGTGAGACCTCGCTACAGTGGTCCTGCACCTCCTCCCAACAGATTCAATATCTGGCCTGGATATCGCTGGGATGGAGTGGACAGGTAAGCCTGAATGTTTCCTATGGTTTTGTTTTCTCTTCCATCTGACCCTAACCTTCCCTAACCGTTCTTAAATCACTCCCCCTTACTCTCTGCTCTAAGCACAAAGTTAATAACACTCAGTTTGCTTCCTTCTGTTTCTAAGGTCCCCAGATCCTGTTTCCCATGCTTAGAATACTCCTTCTCCTCCTCCCTTTTTCCCTTTCAAAGCTTTTTAAAGCTCTGGACAAATAACTCTGGTGCTGCCGGTAGGATACCCTTTTTTTTTTTTTTTTTTTAAAGATTTTATTTATTTATTTAACAGAGAGAGACACAGCGAGAGAGGGAACACAAGCAGGGGGAGTGGGAGAGGGAGAAGCAGGCTTCCCGCTGAGCAGAGAGCCCGATGCGGGGCTTGATCCCAGAACCCTGGGATCATGACCTGAGCCAAAGGCAGACGCTTAACCATCTGAGCCACCCAGGCGCCCTGGATACCCTTTGTTTTTGACATTGGTCACTTCTAGTGATATTTTCTGAGTTTTAGAGGGGATGAGTATGGGTGGGTGTCTGGAGTCTTTTGTGTGTTATGTCTTTAAAATGTAGTTCTTGAACCTTCTCTTCACTGCCTTAAGAGTGAGCTACTTACAGTGTCTCACTGACCCATACGACCAGCATCAACCCATATACTCTAACTTCCTATCTATTAGCACGATTACCTAAATGTGCTTCTATCCAAAGTCTATCCCTCTACTTACATGTTAGAGCCCATCTCCTCTTGCCAACTAAAGCATGTAGTTCTAGCATTTAGCATGGTGATTCTCAAAATTTTGCTCTCAAGACCCTTTTATACTCTTAAAAATTACTGAGAACCCCCAAAAAACTTCTGTTTATGTGGAATATATCTTTTAATATTTACTATATTAGAAACTAAACTGAGATGTTTAAAAAGTGTTTATTAGTTCATTAAAAACATAATAAAGCCATTATGTTAACGTAATTGCCATATTTTTAAAGAAAAATAACTATTTTCCAAACAAAGAAAATAGAAGAATGGCATTGATTAGGATTTTTGCAAATCTCACTCATATTTGGCTTAAGAGTAGATAGCAGGATTCTGCACTGAGTCTTTTGCACCATGTTTAGTTGAAGTACAGGAAGCAAATTTAGCCTTAGAAAATTCAGCCTTATACATAGGTAGTTAGAAAAGGAAGGCGTATTATATGTTTTGATACTACAGAAAAACTCAGCAAGTGATAGTTTCTTAAAGGTGATTTGTAATATGGAGTCTGAAACCATATCAAAAAACTTTCCATACTGTTACATTAAAATCCATTTTTTTTCCCCCTGCTTTGGATGGATCTTTTCCTGGTGCATGATTTTATAACATCAAGTACTGCTCATTTGGAAAATACTGGTTTGCTGAGTTTTTCAGACCTGCCAAATGCTGACATTTTTCGCTACACAACGTCACCTAATCTTGTATTTGTTATTATTACCTCTGATCTCATCACCAAAATTTTTAATGGGAAGCTAGGGTTCATGGTGGCGGATACACATTTTTTTAAAATTCAATTTATGCTTAAAAGCTTGAATTTTTCATTGGTGACAAATATCAGTTGTTATTGTAGTGAAGCTCACTTTGTACAATAGCTTTTTTATAGACTCCATTCGGATTTTGTACCTAAAGGATCAGGTCATCTGTGAATATAGACAGTTTTACTTCTTCCTTTCCAATCCAAATGTCCTTTGTTCTTTATCTTACCTTATTGCACTAACTAGAACTTCCAGTGCAGATGTTGAATAGAAGTGGTAAGAACAGACATCTCTGTCTTCCTAATCTTAGAAGAACATCAGTCTTTTGCCATTAATATGTTGTAAGCTATAGTTTTTTTTGTAGATTCCCTTTACTGAGTTGAGAAGGTTCCTTTCTGTTCCTAGTTTGCTGAGAGTTTTTTTCAGGAATGTCTGTTGGATTTTGGTTCATTCTTTGATCCATGAGTTACTTAGGAATGCATTGTTTAATTCCAAACATTTAGACTTTTCTAGATACCTCACTGTTACTGATTTCCAATTTAATTCTCTTGAGGTTAGAGAATATACTCCATAATATTTTGATCTTTTGAAATTTATTAAGCTGCGTTTTATGGCCAGTATATAGTTTACCTTCGTGAATAATCTGTTTGCATTTGAGGAAAATATGTATTCTGTAGTTGTGGGGGAACTGTTTTGAAAATTATTTTTTAAAAAATAAACATTTTGTTTTTTAATAATTGTAGATTTATAGAAAATATGCAGATAGTATGAAGAATTCCTGTACACCCCTCATCCAGTTTATTACCACTCATTACATTACCGTGGTACAATTTATCAGACCCAATATTCATATGTTATTATTAATGTACCCAGTTTTACTTGGATTTCACCAGTTTTTCCACTAAAGTCCTTTTTCTGTTCAAGGATCCAATTCAGGATCCCACATTGCACATAACTGTCATTCTCTGTAGTCTTCTCTGATATGTGACAGTTTCTCAGTCTTTGCTCTTTGTGGCCCTGTCAGTTTTTTGGAATATGGTCAGTTATTTTGTAGAATATCCCTCAAATTGGGTTCATTTGATGTTTTTCTCATGGTTAGACTGAGGTTATGGGTGTTTGGAAAGAATACTACAGTGGTGGAGTGCCCTTCTCATCAAATCATTTTAACCAGTACATGGTAACCACAGGACATCACTAGTGATGCTAACCTTAATCACTTGGTGAAGGTGGTCAGTATTTGCCAGTTTCTCCACTTTAAAGTTACTCTTTTTCCCCTTCTATACTCTGCTTTCTAGAAGTGAGTCACTAAGTTCAGCTTGCACTCAAAAGGCGACCTGTGGGTGGGATATCTACAATACTTGGACTTTTTCTATAAGGATTTGTTTCATCACCCCATTTAGTCATATTTTTTTGTCGGTAATAAGTCATGTATATTTTATACTGTTGTAATCCAGTAACATGTTATTTATTTTGTTGCTCAAATTGTTCTTTATCCACTGGGAATTCTTTAAGGTGTCCCTTTTGCATGCCCTATCCTTTTATTTTTTGAGCACTCTCTGACTTTCTGATACTACAAGATGCTCCAGACTCATCTTGTATTTTCCCTGTCCCGACTTTAGAATAGGCCATTTCTCCAAGGGCCCCTGGCTGCTTTTAATGGATAATGGTATTTAGAAACGAAGATCTGACTTGTAGAACTTGTTACTTGGGTGTTATTGTTTCTAGGCCCTGTTAGCAGACAGAGCTAGGTAGTACATGTCTAGTAATCCATGTATACGTACATATCTGTCATTATTTCTGTACCTGTTTATGTATATGTCTATATGCATACATGTTTATATATACAGATACATAAATATGAGTTCATATTGGTGTAACCTACTTTAATGCAGTATGACCTTTTCTTCTTGCTTATCTATAACTTTCTCCTCCAACATTGAGAAACCTGGCACCCACCAGCTACCATCCGTTTTGCTTACCTCAGTATACATGTAAAACAGTTTCAGAATTGAGAAATGAAATGAGAAAACAGATTTCCAACTATAGTATTTACGTGTAGTTGCTTTTGTTCTTACCCTTATAATTTCTAGTGAGACTACCATTTTCCAACGTACCTTAAAGGGTCAACTCCCTGCCTCCCCACCCCCATACTATTATGTCATACATTTATAATATAGTTAGATTCATTTGTCATAGTCTGCAGTCTGTCCTGGATTTCCTGACATCCTGGGTGATTTTTCCTTTCTAGAGTTTGCTTATGTTAGTGTTTACTTTTTATGATGTACGGTTCTGTGAGGTTTGACAAATGCACAGTCATTCATTCACCACCCTAGTACTATATAGAAAGTCCCATCATCCTAAAATTTCCCTTTAAGTCCTCTTTTAGTCAGTTACACCCTCTCCCCCAAACCCTTGTGATTAGTGCTCTGTTTTCTCTTCCTAAAATTTTGCCTTTTTCGGAGTGGCACATGAATGGAATCATACAATATGTAGCCTCTTGAGTCTGACTTCTTGCACTTAGCAAAATGCACTTAAGATTCATCCATCTTCTTGCATGAACATCCCATTGTATGGATGTACTGGTTTGTTTATTCCACAGTTGAAGGGCATCTTTGTTGCTCCCAATTTTTAGCAACTGTGAATAAAGCCGCAATAAACATTTGTGTATAGAGTTTTATATGGACATAGTTTTCAGCTTACTTGTTAAATACCCACTGATTGCTGGTATATGGTGAGTCTATGTTGAACTTTATAAGAAATGGCCAGCTGTCTTCCAATTGGCTATACCATTTTACGTTACACCAAAGAATGAGGATTCCTGTTGCTCCATATCCTTGCCTGCCTTTGGTATTGTCAGTGTTTTGGATTTTAGGTGTGCACATTTAGTATTGAATTTTAGTTGCTCTGTTATTTTAGCTAAGCCTCTCTGCAGTTTTTTTTTAGTGTTTGCTCTAAGGATTACAGTATGTATCTTTAACTTAATCATGGCCTACTGAGAGTTACAACTGTACTATTTCACATAAAATAAAGAACCTTGTAACACTGTAGTTCCACTTACCCTGTTGTTCTGTGTGCTACTGTTGTCATATACAAAACATAAATGGTGTAGATCCCACAATACAGTGTTCTAAAATTTACAGTTATTTAAAAAAAACTAAGAAAACAACAAAATGTATAGGTGTTAATATCTGACTCACATACTTACCATTTCTGGTGCTCTTTTTTCTTTTCCTCTAAACAACTTTTAATATTCCTTTAATGCAGGTTTATTGGCAACAAATTTTCTCAGTTTTTGTTGATATGAAAATGTCTTTATTTCACCTTTATTTTTTCAAAACTTTAATTTTGAAATAATTTTATTTTATTTTTTTGGATTTTATTTATTTATTTGACAGAGAGAGACATAGCGAAGAGGGAACACAAGCAGGGGGAATGGGAGAGGGAGAAGCAGGCTTCCCGCTGAGCAGGGAGCCCGATGCAGGGCTTGATCC